CCGGTGGTCCTTTTAGGATCGCACAGGTGTACATACAGGTATGATATTTATGACAGTGAAAATACGTAACTTAATAAATTCGATCGTTTTAAAGAAAAAAGTATTCATATTTGAATTAGAAACGATACGCGAATCGCACAGTTACGTGTATAGTACAGAGGTAATAATTCCACATACAATTTGGAAATAAAAATGTTTTTCATTTGTTTTTTATGGTTGAGTTTTCTAAAGCAAAGTTATTTCTTTACAATTTTATACTGATTCTTATAATGCACTTAACGGGAACCACAAGGTTTTTGTTGTATGTTTTACATATACATTTTATATCAAACGCAGACAGATAACAAATTTATATCAAATATAGTTTAAATAAAAACATTGTGAAATAAACGTAAAATATCTAGTATGCTAATGCATACACACTTATGATAACATAACGCATTTTTCGTAAATATACATATTACATATTTAAAATATTCTTTTATACACTTTTTATACAATTTGGTTTCTAATATAGCAGCAAGGAGCGGCGTTTTAACTTGATTTTATTATACCTACTAATAACTTAAATATTCTTAAGTGTCTTCTTTTTCTTTTTTATAAAACAAATTAAAAAAAGTACTGATGATAAAGACTATTCCCCTCCAGCTGACGATAAGTGGCTACTGTAGTCCATGGAGCATGGGCACATACAGGCAACTTTAAGCAAAGAACATTTCAGATGCGTTGTCAGCTCTAAGACTGAGATGGTATGCTCACAGCCTGTGATTCTATCGGAGCGGATACATAGCTTATAGCGGAACACAGCAGTTCAGGTACTACTAATTGACACTAGCAATAGTCAAAAGGCCGATACCTATATAAATGAAGTCCTACCTGAATAATTTTTTTTAGTTTATTACATGCATCTTCAACTAAGGATTCCTATCAAATTTCACAGTGCGTGTGGAACTAATAATTTTAGGTGCTGATGCTTTTGCTTGGTGGTGTAGCGGCGCTGTCGTCGCGCCACAAGCGAAAACACACCGAAGCCTAAATCGCGCTATCAACATTCCGAATCATAAACAGTATATATAGAACTACCATGGCTACAGTGGTAATACAAACATCGTGACATCTTATGTCTGACTAACGATCACACACTACGACGTTACACCAAACAAATTACTTTATAACCCTTTCAAAAATAAGAGGTATGTGCCCAATAAGGGCTTATATAGTCTTTTTATTTACAAAAATATGTAAAATAAAAAAATAAGAACTCAAATCGCTGAAATGAAAATTTATTATGTAGATTATGTCATTGTTAACTAACTTCAAACCAAACTGGAAAACGTCATCCAACAAAACATCCCGGGACGCTCGGCAAATGTGAAACATCATAGTATGATGGTGAAATTTATAATTAAAAAAAAAACAAAGTGTATACACAGTCTGTATAGTCAGTATACAGGCGGTGAATGCGTCAAGTACTATAGTCGAATAAAAAGGCACACGTTGTACACGATTTGAAAACGTGCAAGAAAAAACGAAGTGTATACTGTATAGAATACGCACACGCATTCACAAGGGAGTCGCGTTGGCGTAGAGGGGCATGACGGCATAAGAGAGCGTCATGCAGTTTGCAGTCACGGTATGCGAGTTGATGTTATTACTGCCAAGGAGCGGCAAAAGATGTTTCACATCAAAAAAGAATCATGAATCGCTGCGTACATTTATCGACGCCGGAACTTAGAGCATAATGTTCTTAGCGCCGAAACCATGGGCTTTGCTGGTTCTTCCCAGGACAAAGGTATTTTCCGAAACATTGGTAAATTAAGCATAAAAACCACTTTCAATAAGTATTAAGTATTTATAATGTATATTAAATAAAAAAGTTCTATTTCTATTTCATGCTCAACTTTTTAACACGCATTCACGCAAAAATCTTTCTTTTTTCTTTAACAGCCCGTAAATTGCGTCTGCTGGAGGCACACATATAACCCTAATACCATGTACCATGCTGCTGTGTCTCATGGTGAGTGTAGAGAACCGGACACCCGTTTTATTGGAATCGAGGCATTCCATCTTAGTTCTCAGGGGTGACAATGCATCTGAATTTTGATTCTTAATCGAGGGTAAATGTAAGATATCACAACATCCACTTACCATCAGGTGGACTGTGTGCTCGTTTGTTACGCTTATTCTATAAAAAATATGTTTTGGTTGCAAATTATGTCATATGCACATCATAAGCACTTCAGTGCGTATTCTACTATAAGTTCAGCATGACTTTGTTTCCGTTTTAGTGAAAATTGAAATGTGCCATAGATAATATTTCTATGAAATGTGCGCAGCGCTCCGTTTTTTTTTTATTATAGTCCATCAAAAATCTAAGAAATACATTTTGACAGCTGTCAGACTTATTGCACCAAGCATGCCAGCCAAAATATGAGAACGTACAAAATTCGATTCTTAAAAAAATCGATAACGTTTATTTGAGTTGGTAATCATTTACAGTTTGGTTTGAAGGATACCAGTATGAATTAAAAACGGATGATTTAAAACAAGATTTATCAGTTTCTTCATATTTGTTGTTACTGCTAATTTCTAGAGTCACATTTATAAAAATTTAAGATTGAAACTAGATTAAAAATAAATATATTCACTCATTTTCAGTACAACTAGTTGAGCTGTCGTTGTTTAGATTAATTATTATTTGATTTTTAATAATACAGTCAAAATTAATGTCTCTTTCAAAGTCATCTATAATCAAATTTTTTTTTTGTTGTTTTTATACCACTTTTGACCAATCATCCTTTGTGACATGGCATGCTTCAACGAATATAGAGGAAACAGTCCAAAAAAGTTAAAGCCGAGTAAAAAAATAAGAAGACAAACACAAAATCACAAAATTACGCACAGTAAGCTCCCGAATGCGATGGCGGGAGATTGAAATTACGTAGTGGATTTACGTAGTGGATTTCAGCGCGGCATTTTAAACAAGGCTGCGCTGAAAAAACCACTACGTGATTCTATGAGTTTTTCTTTGCCTACATAAATTTACATTGACAAAGTAAAAAAAAAACTTGTTTTATTCATGATTCTTGCAATTGAAGGAATTTTAAAAATACAAATTTAGTTAAACAAATCATACAATAAAAAAATAACGATTCGATTACTTGAACATTTTTACCGATTATTTGAGTATTTTCGCCGACTATTCACATAACAATTAATTTTAATGATCCAAATACTACGGTAAGGTACATAGCGACATAACATTGAAACGACGTCAAGTAAAAAAAAAGGTGATACTGGATATTATTTTAATATCTTGCTTTGTTTGAAAGATGCGGATTTAAAATTAGTGATAAAAAACTATACACGATGTAATGAAATATAGATATCATTATAATTATTCGGATTTACGTAAAAGGTTATTTTAAATCACGTGAGTGCGCTTGTGCAAAGTTATTGCGGAATGATTCATGTGAAACGTCAAAAGGTATTTCTTAGATTTGGTTGACTATAAGCCACTTTCTTGTTTGTCTGTCTTTACATGTAAATTTAGCAATTGATTTTAAACTAACTATGAGCTGGAAACTTGAAATTTTGAATATACATAGGTCAAATTCAGATGAAAATGCAAAAATATGATAGTAAAACTGATATTTTTATTTACAAAAATTACTTATTTTAAGTTTTCAAATTCTAGCAATGCTATTAAAATTACTAAAATTTATGTAAGGAGTACTTCACTCAGAGCCGTGGTAGCTCAGATGGTTAACGCTCGCTGTAAATAAACAGAACGTGAGTAACCCGGGTTACTCTTCTCTATCTCTTACGACACCAACGGGACGATAGAGAAAAGTCACTGTTTTCACTATATTTTTATTTTTTATTACTTATAGTTATATATCAAATTTTTATTCACAGTGTGTTAGATTAAGACAATTCAATTCAATATTATGTAAACATTAGCTTTAATGCACCTTTGATCCCATAAAATATTATTTCTGGCACTGACTGTAGTTTACTCGGACGTCAGATTCCGCGGATCATGGCCTCGCTATTTTATTCAACTCGGCCTTTTGATGTTAATGTTTTATGGGACTATTGCACTGTTTCTACGTCTGTTCTAGGAATATGTCAATTTTATCACGAGTCTCGTTTGGTTTGTGACGTGAGATGGTAGAGATTGCGGCTGGATTTTGGAAATGTCAGGTGTTTTCGATTTTTCAACTAAACACAATAAGTGGTGAAATATCGTAGATTGATAGTGTAATAATAAAAATAATATTGTCCTACAAATTGGATTTCGGTCACGGCGGCCGGCCTCAACGGAGACTAGCCGTTTGTGCAGGACAAGACTATAGTACCTACCCAAGTGTATGCGCATGCATAGGTGCACTTATTACTCTCACTTTCACAGCCCGATGGGATGGTAATTCGACACTACGGGTAGAGATCGGGCGCAGGAGCAGCGAATTTACGCACTTAACGAGGCACCGGGATAAAACACCACCAGCTTCCTAACTCTGGGCTGGTATTGAGAATTTCTTACCAAAAAACTCAATAACTGATTTTGGCCCGACCCGGGTTTCAACCCGGGTCATGTTAAGTAATCGTTTTTACGTTCACTTGAACAACGAAGCAGTCGCTGATAGTGTACAAAACCACTAAATAAAAAGTAAAAACTTTAAAATCGTTGTAATTTGAAACTCATTGAAAAGAACAAGCGATACTAAAAAGAGACAGACAGAAATTTTTTACCTGCGATAGAATGAGAGAGAATACAGGATACACTGTTTACTATAAATTATATTGTAATTACATAAACACTACAATTATCCCAGTCCTGATATAATGCATTTGTCTCATTTCCTGAGATTCAGTTTTCTGAAGGTTTCAGTTACTGCCCCGTGTGAACTGGAGACACGTTTTTTTGACGCCTGTTAGGATTTTTCTATGGAGATCAAGTTATTTGTCAGGACTGTTCAGTTTTCCATCTGGTTACCCTATAAGGTAGCGACTTCGTGGTGCGTTTCGTTGGAGAAAGGTGGACTCCGGGGTGCTGCTGCTATGTGTTCAGCCTCGCTAATTGTATCGGGTAGCCGTGTGTTGAGGGTTTCTGGGGTAGTCAACATCAACGCACCGGCGATTAGGGCTGTCGAACCGAACAGCACTGACGGTAGCCAATCTATATATATCGCCTGCGAAATTAATCATTCATTTTATTATTTATATTTATGATAATTTTTTTTTAATTTTATCTTTTTTATATAGAATAACTTCACTAGATGGTAAGTGGATATTGTGGCTCATAAAAATCTACATCTATCTCCGATTGATAACCAAAAAGATGCCTTGTCACCCCTATGGACTAAGACGGAATGCCTCGGTTTCAGTAAAAAGGGTTTCTGGTTCTATACACTCTCCATACTAAATACAACATCTTTAAGCTGCTATTTTACGCTGGTGGTCTGTGAGAACGTGGTCCTTCCCCGGTCGAGCTGACCTATTTGTGCTACAACCATAATGTAGTTATGTGCTATTCGTGCTCGTCCATAATGTAGCTATGTAGTAATGTAGTTCTACCACGTATAAAATATAGTATGAAAGTGAATTTTGATATGTAAAACTGCTAAGATTTTGTGTATTGAATGTCTTCGCATATGAACTATAGTACTATAGTGAAATAAGTGCTCCGATGGTGATGTGATCACTTCACCTCAAGATAATGTGTCTGCTGGTACAAGCTAACGTCAATATCTCCCAAAGAACTCGCAATGTTTCATATTAACATACAGTGAAGAAGCAAAGGATAATTGCTTATTATGTACTTACTAATATTACAAAAAAAGAGAAGCAACAGCTCACCAGTAGCGGCATCTGTGGGGCGATGATGGAACCGATACGGCCGACCATTGAGCAAAATCCGAGCAGCGAGTGGCGCGCATGCGTCGGGAAAAGTTCCGACGTGTACATATAGATGCCGCTGAACGCCTGTGTGATTGCAATCTTGCCTACTAAGTAAAGCAGTGTTGTCAACCATGGTATCGCTGAAATAATCAAATTAAAATATTTTAATATTACGTGTACAGCCTGTGTCTGAGTAACTTGAAGTATTGCCCTATAACTTGATACCTCCACGAAAGGTACTAAAATATCAAAAATAATTCAGCAGTAAATTTCTAGATTTATACATTTATTAGATATGTTACTATGTATATATATGTTGGAGGGGTACCAACTATTACAACAACACAGATTCTATAAACTATACGTGATGTTGCAATAGTAAGTAACCATCTTTATATTATGTTGTGGACAAGATCAGGCAACAGCATCTTACTAATAACTGAAATAAACTGTAAACTGCAATTGCAAACCCGCTTGCCAATCGTGGCAACTGTGGCATAACCCCTTCCAAGAGGCAGTCCATGCGGGAGGCCAATGTTCAGCAGTGGACTTATATAGTTTGTAATGGATGTAGTGGATGGATGAATGATCATATTAAGATGAAGTTTAGGGGTACTGATGTATTTCTGTTCGCTTTTACACAGCAATACAGACAAACAGGTACTCTTATAAACTTTAAAATTCTTAACGATTTCATATTATATTTATGCGAAAACTACACATTGCATACTATAGCACCCACGGTCACGAAAACACCCCCGATGACTACAAAGTGAATACTGTAAAATACTCAAAGCGTTGGGAATATAAATATAAGCTAACGAAATAAGATTCGTAGGAACTAGTTTTTGCTAAACTTAGTTTGTAAATACTACACATTTACTTACGGGGAATCGAACCAACCGGACGCACAGAATAAATAATAGTTCTACAGTCAGTAGATCATTTGATAGTAGAGTAGGTAAATTGCAACTAAGTTTTGTAATAAAGTAAGTAGGTATTATTTCTGTAGATAAATCATTATTTCATTCTTTTTTGCTATAAGTAGGTACCTAAAAATGAAATAAATTCACATTTCATAACTTCCTACTAAAATGCTTTGGTAACTTAAAGAATGATATATCTGAAACTTTTTGTTGGCAATGACTAAAAATTATACATATTGTGTATATTAACCTGTTTGATCAATGGGAATGGCAGAAAGTCGTTCCTACTATAACCGTTTCGTGGATAGATGCTACAATGTAGAACGACTTTTTGCCATTTCAATTATTCAAATAGATAATATACATAATATATATTATAATTTTTAAATTACATTAAAACTTTTCAACTATTTTATTCTACAATTAAATATACTAAACATTACACAAAAACTATTTCAACAAGTATTTACATGAAACTATTTACGTAAACAGCGTTAAAATACTTCAATCGCCTACAACGTGCTAGTCCCGACTGCGTATGTTACCCTGGGTGCGTCACGATTGTGGGTAATTATTTCAAGCAGGTGGCAAGAGTGACAGAGGGCTGCCAGCTGCCGGGAGTGGAAGTCCGAACCAGCACCGTTTATTTGCCGAGCTGCCGAGTCATACAGTGCTTAACACCACGTATAAATTATATATTATCAAAGGCTCGCGCTATTGTACCTATGTACGTATGTGTACCATTACATGGACAAAGTGCCGTCAGGGTAACTGTGGTGAGACATTGGTGCTGTTGCCTATGCTGAGTCTGTGACTATTTCTCTGCTGCAGCCAATATCAATTATTTATATTATCTTTTTTTTGTCGAAAATATATTTTGCAACATGGCATTACTCTATTATTTATTTATTTATACTTTATTACACACATATTCGTTAAAGGATTACAAAGGGAGGAGTTATAATGGCTTTTGGCATTCTCTCCCAGTCAGTCAGTCTGTTACGTTTTCGATAATTCTATTTTGGTTTGGAGGGTGAGAGAAGCAATAGATTTATATGGTCGTTTACAATATCGGTATCCATATGCTGCCACTGGTCATCATGTGCCACCAGGAAGCCGATTTCGTTCCTTTGTTATTTCCAATTTTGGTGCTGATTTCCTATTTCTATTGTTCCATAAATTAGATTGACACACAATGATACAATGACAAAACCGGCATGTCAATAGAAAATATTAACATATTTATATAAAATTCGATGGATATATATTTAGAAATACTTACATTTCGGTACAAACGTTATAGCCGCGCAAGAAATTCCGCAGGTCACGTACGCGACCAGCAGCGTCTTCTTTCTTCCATAACGATCCAGCACCAGCGCGTTAGTGACTACTGAAATCACCTCCACGCTCACCACCAGCATGTAGTTGGTGTATTTATCACCAGCAAGCGACACCGAGTTGATTGCCAGTCCGTAGTAGACAAAAGTGCACGTAATCCACCACCAGGAGCAAATTGCAAGGCGTTTCATAATAATAGGCGAATGTAGCACTTGAATCCAAATGCCTTTTTCTTCTTCCAAATCCTGCTTCTCCTCTGTCATTCTGATCTTTTCTTCCATCTTCAAGTGCATCATTGTCTCCTCTGATAGAGTTACATTGTTCATTTTTGCAGCTCTCATGATTATTTCCATTGCTTCCTTTTTCCTATTCTTTGATATCAGCCAACGGATACTCTCAGGCAGCAGATAAATATAGAAAACGAAGAGTAATGATGGTGGGTAGACGACCAGTATGAAGGTACGCCAGTATTGGAAGGTTTTGGCCAACAAAGCAAAACTCAGCCCGCCAAGTACCAACAAAATACCCAAACATGCTGTGGTGAGTACTCGCTTGTCTTGTCCTAGCAGCTCGATTGCTGTAAATTAAAACGAAAATATCAAAAATGAATTAAAATTAAAATATCACGTAAACGACCAACAGCTGGGCACGTGCCTGTCCTATGAAGATTTGCTGCCCGTTATGTATTTAAACTTTATTGTTTCCACCCATTGATATACTAATAATCTTGTATATCAATGTTTCCACCTTATCAAAAAAACCTTACAAAGTGCTGACTTAATATCTTTGGGCATTCCCTACCATTTAACCAAACGCATGTAAAGATTACAATATTAGACATTATAGATTGCATAACATATCTTACGTCTTTGCTAATTGCCTTCGCCGATCTGAGAATTTTTTAAATGGGATGGAATGGACCTCTATCACCACTATCAAGCAATAACTGCAAAATCTTCTAGACTTATCTAATACCTAGTTTGTTTATATAAAAATGAGGAATTAAAATGAATATATAACAACATATATAAAATGAATGTATAACAACATATATAAAATGAATGTATAACAACATATAAAACTTTTACACAACAACCACACGACGCATATCATTCGATAAATGTCTTAAAAAGCGACAGAGAAAACCTGAAACAGGAATTTGTCAGCATTTTTATATGTGGTAGAGTCAAGCTGCAGCTGTGTTTATACGTGGTAGAGTCAAGCTGCAGCTGTGTTTATACGTGGTAGAGTCACGCTGCAGCTGTGTTTATACGTGGTAGAGTCACGCTGCAGATGTGTTTATACGTGGTAGAGTCACGCTGCATCTGTGTTTATACGTGGTAGAGTCACGCTGCAGCTGTGTTTATACGTGGTAGAGTCACGCTGCAGCTGTGTTTATACGTGGTAGAGTCACGCTGCAGCTGTGTTTATACGTGGTAGAGTCAAGCTTCAGCTGTGTTTATACGTGGTAGAGTCAAGCTGCAGCTGTGTTTATACGTGGTAGAGTCATGCTGCAGCTGTGTTTATACGTGGTAGAGTCAAGCTGCAGCTGTGTTTATACATGGTAGAGTCACGCTGCAGCTGTGTTTATACGTGGTAGAGTCAAGCTGCAGCTGTGTTTATACGTGGTAGAGTCAAGCTGCAGCTGTGTTTATACATGGTAGAGTCACGTTGCAACTGTGTTTATACGTGGTAGAATCAAGCTGCAGATGTGTTTATACGTAGCAGAGTCATGCTGTCGGCTCGACCTGGGAAGGACCACGCTCTCACAGAATACCAGCGTAAAATAGCAGCTTGATGCTGCTGTGTTTCTTATTGTGAGTGTAGAGAACCGGAGACCAGTTTTACTGAAAATTGAAGCATTCCATCGTACACCTTACGAGTGACAACGTATTTGCATTTTGATTCGTAATCGAGGTTAGATTTCTATAGATGATAATCGAGGATAGGTTCCATAGATAGAGTCTATAGGTCACAGCAAACACTTAACTTCAGCTGGACAGTGTGCTCGTTTGTCACCTTTATCCTGTAAAAAAGTGGTTAATGTAACCCACAGACATCTATATTTTTATCCTCGGTTAGAAATCAAAATGCAGAAGCCTTATCAACCCTGAGGTCTAAGATGGAATGCCTCGTTTTGAGTGAAAAGGGTCTTCAGTAGTCTACATTCAACTCAACGCTGGTATTTTGTGGGAGCATGGTCCTTGGTCCTTGGTCCATACCCCGGTCGAGCCGATCCATTCGATTTCATTATAGCTGCGGCCTGGTTCTATCACGTGAAAACTGTTCAAATAATCAATGTAATACGACTTACTCAGTATGTAAGCAGCTGGAAAGGCACTGGCACCAGCTACCGTCTCCAGGAACTCCACTATGATGTACATTTCGTATGACACAGAGAATGCTTTGAGGGTACCGATGGCACCAACCAGAGTGCAGCTCAGCACCAGCGCCCGCTTGCGACCCCAACTTTAAAATTATCCCAACTTTAATATTACAACTTTAAAATTATTACCACAAATATCAGTATCAAATAATCACGGATGCAATGTATTGGGGATGATATTATGCGTTAGAAAGAAGTGAGTGGAGAAAAGACAGCTAATATAGGAGAATGAAATAGAAAGAAGTGCTATGCCGACACCAAATATCTTGGGATACGAGTAGGAAAAAGAAAAAGAAGAAGAGCCTTTTCCTTCTTAAAAGGCCGGCAAAGCATCTGCAAACCCCCTGGTGTTGCAGCTGTTCATGGGCGGCGGTAATCACTTACCATCAGGTGAGCCGTATACTCGTTTGCCACCTCTCCTATATAAAAAAACTCCACTGCTGTAGAAAAGTGCACACAGGTGGTAGGACTTCTTTTCTGCCTAATAGTTCGTCTTGGAACTCTCAAAAAACACGTCAATCAAACACAGGATTGCGGGGCTGACTGGTTTTTCTCCAAAAGTTTTAATACAATTTCCACAATGACCCACTATTTTAATAATTAAACCTTACAGTGGACAGTTGTAGGTGAAGAATTGAGGAGGAAGTCCGAATCTGGAAAAGATGACTCTAAAGACTGCAATTGTCAATTGCGCATTTGTACTATTCATAGTAGAAACTTCAATCCAATTAGAATGAGCGTCCATTATAAATAGATATTTTTTTCCGCCTCTTCCGCGAAATCCGCGTGTATACGATGCCAGGGCTGAAGATGAAACTCCCACGGGTGAATCGCAGCGTGTGGTTTCGCGTCGCTAACATCGTGGCTTGGCTCGCAATTTCGACATACCTCCTCTAGATCTTTATCGACATACCTCCTCTAGATCTGTATCGACATACCTCCTCTAGATCTGTATCGACATACCTCCTCTAGATCTTTATCGACATAACTCCTCTCGATAAATTCATCATTTTATTCATACCTAATTGGCCATCGTGAATCTCCTTTAAAAGTCGCGTACGTAGTACTGGTGGTATAATAAGTCTATACTTTTATAGTAAGCAACCGAGATCAGTAATGATCTCTGTCCCTCTCTTTCTCTCACGTGCTAAATACGGTTATTCCTCTTCGCATCTCGCCACGTGCGGCCAACCGAACATTAAATATCCTAGAATTATACGTAACAGACTGGTCTTTTTTTTATTTCATAACAAATATCCTTAAAGTCTACGGATATACACTCCTCAACTATATTTAAATAGCTCACTGACGTATTAAAGCCCTACTCGTGAAGTAACGGCAGACGAGATAAGGCATCTGCCGGCCCGTTATTCTTTGAAGGCACGAATTTTACGGAAAAATCATAGGCTGCAGGACGTGCTGCCCAGCGCTGTAAGCGGCTCGCAGCTGTCAGTGGTATACCTCCTCGTACCCCAAATACCTGGTGATCCGGGTGCAAAATGAACCTCCTGCCGTTTAAAACATTTAAACGGCGGGAGGTATTTAGTAACACAAAATATTGCGTATGGCTACGCAACCGTTCAATGACGGATTTTAAATTTTTAAAATGTAATTCTTTACTCGGGCCTGTTACGCAATTGTCATCCAAAAGTACTTCTGTCCTCGGTATACCCCGCACCCGCAGAGTTTCTTCCACAAGCTTTTGAATCTTTTCGGCAATACATTATAAGTCGAAAAGAGTGCGACGATATCTGAATGTCCCTACATGTGTAGTTATTGCAGTGAATGTTTGGAAATCTTTGGTCAGTAACACTTTTTGATATGAATGTTTCAAGTCAATTTTCTACTCCACCACTCAGGGTAATAATTTCCCAACCTGGACAGAGGATAAAAGACCTGTTTTAGTTTAGGGTTAATAGATATTTTATAATCCTCACATATCCGTATATCCCCACACTCCTTGACAACTGGTACTGTCGGTGTTCCATACTCGGAATAATCGACGCGATGTATAAGTGCCCTCTCGCTCTAACCCAACGCGCGCGCAACGCGAGAGGTGCGGAACTCGCGTGAACATATACGGGTTCCTTATACCGTCGCTCTAATTGAATAGGTTTTTTTTTTACAAATACCCAGTTTATCAGTAAATACCTCCGGAAACTCTGTCAATAACTAACTAATAAATGCATCATCATAAATTTCATTAAATTTAATTTGCTCCACTCTCGACCTAACCAAGGACGGCATCCGTTTTTAATGACATACAGTTGTAAATTTTTAGCTCGAGTCTTACCCAGTTGAACATCGACATAAATGTAACCTAGCGATTCGATACGGGAGCCTGAGTAGCAACGTAAAATTAGGTTATCGACATTTAATGATTTATTTGAGAATTATTGTTTATGAAAATCTGCACTGATTGCCCGTATCAACCTCACACTCTTCGCCAGCGTAAAGACTCAAGGAAAGGCTTCAATCATACACAGGATTGCGCGGCTGACTGGTTTATTCTCCAAGCTTATAATAAAGTTTCTACGATTGTCCACTATTTTAATAATTAAACCCTACAGTAGGTACCCATCTTCTTATCCATTTCTGCCTCTAAGTAACAGTGCGTGCACAGCTGTGTTCCGCTCTGAAGGGTCTTGATTCTTAAAGTTGATAACGCATAGCGTAGCCTCCTTTGTACTAGTTTGCTCCAGGTGTCCATGGACTGCTTTAGTCACTTATCACCAGATGGAATGTGAGTTGGTTTGTGACTACAATTTTATAAATGATCTTCATAACATTACTTTACAGTGTCCTGGCGGTTTACCATCCACTACCGCTATCCTCCTGTGGCAGTTGTAAGAGGCGACACAGGGAAATGAGCCAGTAGATGATCGGCAGCGTCTCCCTAATATAAGAAATTGCGATTGCCAACGAGTTTGCCAAGCGTGGCGACTGTAACAAATATCCCTGCTGCGAGGAAGGCTATGGGGAATCTTAGGATAGTACTAGACGATCATAATATGCAGGGGAGAAGAAAATTCCTTATTGCAACAGTACGTTAGAAAAAGGTAGCAAATCATGACATCATGACTCTGTGACGATTTGTCATTCAAAATCGACCGTCACAAGTCGGCTCGCAAGTGGTCTCCTCAGTATTTTTTGAGTTTAGTCGTGGTTATTTCTAGTAAATTCAATTGTCTTCAACAATGGTTAATTATTCTGTAAGTGACTGCGGTGTTATTAACAGAAATAAACCTGATAATTGCACATTTTACACGCAAATTCTCAATACGTCATCACTATAGCAGTTTATTTCAGATTTAAATTGATCTTGTGTACTGTTTAAGATGTAGAATAATTTCAATAGTTTTGTAAAAAAAGATAAAGGCATGTTTTTTAATAATATTATTTGTAATATTAGAATAAGGGTGGTAAACAAACACATGGTCCACCTGATGGTACGTTGACGTTGTGGCCCACAGACATCTAGTTGTTATTCGTATGGTAGGTGTAAAGAACCAAAGACGCTTTTTACTAGAAGCGAGGCATTCCATCTAAGTCTTCAGTGGTGACAACGAATCTGCATTTTGATGCTTAATTGATGGTAAATGTAGATGCATACGCGTCACAGTATGGACTTACCGTGTTACAGGTGAGCCATGTGCCCGTTTGTAACCATCATTCTATAAAAAAATATTGTCGAAGAATCATTTAGAAAGAAGTTTCTATTTGTTGCATTAGTGATATCACTGGAGAAGGCGTTCTTCAAATGAAATAGATGAAGATACATTTCGAGTACCACTAATTCAGCATAAACGCCAGAAAACTAATGACAAATAATAAAAAATTATGACCTACGTGAGAGATCTGCGCCACAGTTAATTGCAAATTACCTATTAGAACTTGAACAGGGAAGAACCACGCTCTCACAGAATACCAGAGTAAAATAATGGTATAGTGCTGCTGTTTTTCGGATAGTAATGAACATAGCATTCCTTCTCAATCCACGTGACAACCATCGGAACCCATTTTTTTATATTTTGATTTTTTATTGGCGATAACTTTTAATGTCTATGGATCACAGTATTCCCTTATCGCGAACTGTATTCTCGTTTGTTATTCCTAACTTCTTTATAAAATCCTCTACTGGTTTTTTTATAGCATAGGATGACAAACGAGCACACAGTCCACCTGATGGTAAATGGTTGCTGTGGTTCATAGACATCTTCTTCTATTCTCGATTACGAATTAAAATACAGATGCGTTGTCACCCGTGAGGACTAAGATGGAATGCCTCGTTTCCAGTAAAAAGGGTCTCCGATTCTCTGCACTCACCATACGTAACACAGCAGCATTAAGCTACTATTTTACGCTGGTACTCTGTGAGAGCATGGTCCTTCCCCGGTCGAGCCAACCCATTCGTGCTACAACTATACTACTAATACATCTGCAGCATGGCTCTACCACATATAGAAAGTTTAAAATTTAAAAGGTTTTGTATTCGGACAATTTAGAAATGAATTGAAGTACTCGTATTTGACAGATTTCACAGCGCTGGAAGTTAATCAGATAGAAAAAGTAAAGGTTAATGTTTCTTTCAAAATATAATTGATATTAATTATTAACCAGATTAGAAATTAATAAACCAAACTATAGATATTCCTAAGGAATGAAAAAGAGAATTAAAAAATTAAGAATATACCACTCAGGCATTATTTTATGTATTTAAATATTCTAGATACCGTTAAACTTTTGCGTAAGCGCAAATTTTCACTTATAATTATTTGATCGAATTAACTTACCTATAAGTGTCCTTCGATCAAAATTATATGCAGTTGACGCCTCTTCTGTGTTCTTTACTATGTAGTCATGAATTGACGGACCGAATCACACGAGTTTTAACCTTCGGGGGGAAAAATAAATTTTACTGGTACCCCAATACGTACGAGCTCCCACTGGCAACACTATACCTCTCATGTCATTGTGAATTTATATCAAGCAAGCCCTAAGGTTGGGTAATAATATACAGCAGGGTAGGGTTGTACACAGAGGAGGCATCAATATCATATACTTTTGATCGAAGGACACTTAC